TCAATAGTTAGCATGTGATCAAGAACTGATGGTACTGAATGATAAAATCCAAGTTGCACAGAAGGAATGGACAGACCACATATTGAAATCTTTCAACAAACTGATGCAGTACTGGAGGCACTCACTTATCTTTGCCAATAAATTTGGAAGACAGCTACCTGGGCATCCAATTGGAAGAGAACCATAGTTATGCCCATTTCAAAGACAGGCAACCCAACAGAATGTGGAAATCACTGAACAATATAATTAATGTCATATGCAAGTAAATTTTTGCTAGAGATAATTTTAAAATGGCTGCAACAGTACATTGACAGGAAACAACCAGAAACTGAAGCTGGATTCAAAAAAGGATGTGGAACTAGAGATATCATTGCTGATGTCAGATGGATCTTGCCTGAAAGCAGAAAATACCAGAAAGCTGTTTACTTGTGCTTTATTGACTATACAAAGGCATTCAACTGTGTAGATCATGACAAGCTATGGACCACATTGTAAAGAACAGCTATCCTAGAATAGTTGATTTTACTCATGAAGAACCTGTACATAGATAGATCAAGAGGCAATCATTAGAACAGAACTAAGGGACACTGAATGTTTTAAAATCAGGAAAATTGTGCATTACAGATGTTTTCTTTCACCATTCTTATTCAATCTGTTAAGCAAATAATCTGAGAAGTTGGATTATATGAAGAAGAATTTGACATCAGGATTAGAGGATGACTCATTAACAACCTATGATATTCAGATGATACAACCTTGCTTGCTGGAAGTGAAAAGGACTTAAAATACTTACTAATAAAGATCAAAGACTACAACCTTCAGTGTGGATTGCATCTCAAGTAAAGAAAATTTAAAACTGGACCAACAAATAACATCATGATAAATGGAGGAAAGATTGAAGCTGTCAAAGACTTCATTTTGCTTACATCCACAATCAACACTTGTGAAAGCAGCAAAGAAATCAAACAACATATTGAACTAGTAAATCTGTTACACAAGACCTCTTTAAAATGCTCAAGAGCAGAGATGTCTGTTTGAGGACTAAGGTGCACCTGATTCAAGCCATGGCATTTTCAATTACCTCATTTGCATGTGAAAGTTGGATTATGAAAAAGGAAGATCAGAGAAGAATCGATGCATTTGAGTTATGGTGTTGGAGAAAAATGTTGAAAGGACAATGGCCTGCCAGAACAAATCTGTATTGAAAGAAGTACAACCAGAATGTTCCTTAAAAGCAAGGATAGGGAGACTTCATCCTACATACTTTGGACATATTATGAAGAGGACTAGTCCCTGAAGAAGGACATTATGCTTGGTAAAGTGGAGGGTCAGAGAAAAAGGGGAAGAGATGAGATGTATTGGTACAGTGGCATCACTGTGGGCTCCAGTGTAGCAATAGTTGTGAGGATGGCACAGGACCAGGCAGTGTTTCATTCTGTTGTGCATAGGGTCACTATGAGTCAGAATCAACTTGTCAATACCTATGAACAATAAAATGTGGGTCATGATTCTCAGCGATTTGGCAGTTACGTAATGATATGATCATCCCCCATGATGTGATGTCATGTGACCAACCAATCAGTTGCATGAAGATTAGGGTGAGATGAATACCTTTACTCAGGTTACAACCTTGATCTGAGTGATGTAAGAGGAGTTTCCCTGGGGTGTGATCTGTGTCACCTTTTATCTTACAAGAGATTAAAGGAAAAGAGCAGCCAGCAGAGAAGGAGGGACCAAGAAAAGGCCCAGTGTCCCTGTGCTGAGAACCTCCTAGACTCAGGGAAAGATTAATGCCAAGAATGCTGGACCCACAGATGTTGACAGGAGATAAGGACCTTCCTTCTGAGCGACAAACAGAGAGGCCTTTCCTAGAATTTGTGCTCTAAATTTGAACTTCTAGCCTCCTAAACGGTGAGAGCATAAAAGTTTGTTTGTGGGATTTCTGTTTTAGTAGCACTAGTCAAGGAGCTCTATTGGCACTGTAGGATGAACGTTGGACTGTTAATCAAAAGAGCAACAGTTCAAACCCATCAGGAAGAAAAAAGAGGCTTTCTGCTCCCATAAAGATTTACAGCCTCAGAAACCCTATATAGGGTCCCTATGAGTTGGATTAGGTTCAATGACAGTTTGTGTCAGTACTAAATACCCAAGACGGTTTCCCTGTGTGTTTGGATCACAAGCTCAATAGAGTTTGTGTGACATGAGTTGAAAAGTTTCTAAAAAATGGGTTGAGTTTATTTTGCAAGTCATATCAGCTTGTTGTGTGGAATCTATATTTTAACTTGGAATTTGGGCTCCTACTTTATGTGGGGAAACCCTGGTTGGTACAAAGCTCAATACACTCAGTTACTAACCAAAAGGTTGCTGGAGGTTTGAGTCCACCCAGAGGTACCTCAGAAGAAAGGCCTGGAGAACTACTGAAAATCAGACATTGGAAACCGTGGGGAGCACATGTGGGCTCTCTATGAGACGGAGTCAACTTGATGACAAACAATAGTTTTAGTTCATGTGGATAGACTAAATTAAAAACAACAACAACAACAACAACAACAGCAAATACCTATCTGAGGAATGTTGTTGTTAAGTGCTGTTGAGTTGGTTCTGACTCATAATGACCCTGTATAGGGTTCCTCAGGCTTTTAAATCTTTGAGGGACCAGAAAGCCTCATCTTTCACTTGTGGTATGGGTGGCTGACAGACTAAAACCACAGACTTTGGGCTCACAGTCCAGTGCTTAGTAGACCCTCTTATATTTTAAATATAGCTTTAATTAAGGAGCCCTAATGGCACTGTAGAATAAGCACTGGACTGCTAACCACAGGCTGGCAGTTCAAACTTAATAGCTACTTCGTGCAAGATACATGAGACTTTCTACTTCCATAAAGATTTACAACCTCAGAAACCCTATATAGCTTTGCTGTGAGTCAGAAATTAACTCGATGGCAGTAGATGTAGCTTGATTTCATTTGATTATTGTTTGTTTCTGCCTTTTAGGATGTCAGCTCCAGGGAAGAAGGGACCTTGTTTGTCTTTGTGTGTGTGTGTGTTTTTGCTATATCCCCAGTACTGAGAATAACACTGAGTACACAGTAGGCATTCAAGTGTTTACTGAAAGAGAGGATAAAAGAATATCCACTTCATATGTGTTGTGACAAGTAAGTGGTGGGTGTATCATAGATAAACTAGATTTGGCTGCAAGTCACAGAAAACTCATTGAAGAGTGGTGTTTATTGTTTCACAGAATGGAAGCCTGGAGGTAGGCAAAGGCTGTCACTATGTCTGTGACTCTTGATTTCAAATGTCTGCAATTTTCTTGGCCTTTGTCTTATAGTTGTAAGATGGTTACTTTAGCTCCAGGCGTCATATCAACATACAAGGCAGGAGAAATTAAGAACAAAGGGAGAGAAGCAATGGCATCATCCTCTTATCAGGAAGGTAAAGATTTTTCTAGGCATTGGATGCTGGGGACAGCATACGCAGACCCTGGGTTGATCAGTGGCAGCCCCATTAAACCACCTGTGAATATAATCAGTTTAACCCAGATGCTCTCCTTCCTCCTGAAAGTATATAGGAATATTAAGAACAATGTAGCATTTTAGGTATAGATAAATGAAGCCGGGTGCCTGAGATCTTGCTCACAAACAAAAGTTTGCAAAGTTTACAGAGACAGCTTGGCTCCTTTCAGGAACCTTGCTTTATGTTATGTATCCTTAAGAAACCGCACGTTGCTACTCTAGATCATTTAAGCCTAAAAATTAATATATAACAGCTTGCTTGAACCTTTTTTCTGTAAAAATAAAATGTTAAATTAAGAAAACACTATGAAAATATCTTAAAAGTTGTTCCTGTGAATCATTATGTCCTGTTTTGAATGATTAATCACATTTCAGTTCCGTATCCTGTCTTAATCACATCCTCCCTTTGTGACATCCTCCCTGAGTGAATTACATCCTTCCTTTGTAACAAATCCCTCCCTAAAAAGAGAATAAAAGGCTGAGGTAGAGTGACTTCTGCATGCAATGCTGGGCAATGCTAGGCAATATGTTTGCAGGTCTGTCTACCTGCCAGCTTGCATCATATCTGTGTGTCTGTCTTTTTTGTATATATTTTGTCTCTCTCTTTCTCTATCACTTTTGCCGCCAGATCTCCCTTCTTCATGACACCCACACTTCCTTGTCGAGGCGGGACCCTGACATAGGACCTCGACAATTGGAGAGCAAATTTCTGCATTTATCTCATTGACTAGAAATGGGTTACACAAGCTTGAGGAAAGCAAGGGAACCTAGAAAGTGAGCGTTTCCCGGAAGCCCTACACAGGGTCACTATGGGTTGGAACCTACTCAATTGCACTTAACAACAATAACAAGACTATAGGAGGAGTGTGGTGGCTCTGTAGGATAAACACTGGACTGTGAACCACAAGGTCAGTGGTTCGAACCCACCAACCTCTCTGACAAACAACAGTCTCTATAGGTGGGAGTCCTGGTGTAAACAGTTGAGTGCTAAGAGAGGTCCCAGACTTGAAAACCCTATGAAGTCGTTCTCCTCTGCACACATGGGCTCGCTATGATTCCGATCAACTTGATGGTAATAATCAACAGCAGCAGCATCTAGATAGCTGAGGAGGGGAACTGGGGACCGAGGTGGTTATCTGCCCCAAGTGAGGTAATACATACATGGAAAGCACTGAGCAAAACAAGCCCTTAGAAAGGGACACCATTTCCACAATAAAAATTCTTATTATCATTTAAAGTGTTACAGTTTCTGTGATCCTATTGACATCAGATTTTCTTGGCTTCTGGAACCAGCAGGCACTGAGACACCATCATACCTCCAGTCCCCCAGCAGTCTCCTTCCCTCTCTCCTTGCTCGGCTCAAAGCACTGATGCTCTGAAAAAGAAACCAAAAAAAAAAAAAAAAACCCACAACCTACATTTCCCAAGGTGAGTGAGCCACTTCCGGCTCTCATTAGCTCCATTCTCCCTGCTCTCAGCCTAAAGGAGGTGGGAACTGTGGAAGTCCAAGGCCCATCAGACCCACACCCAGGTCAGCGTCAAGGTCTCTTCCAAGGGCATGGAGATGGAAATAGCAGATGAGCCCATTGTGAATCTCGGACAGACCCTGGAGTGGCTGAGAAAGGAACTGGTAAGCCTTTGCATTTCTTTCTACCTATACCCCCCACCTCATATTTTTCAAGGTTCCCTAGTGCCCCAAGCACACCCTTCAGGCCACGGCAAGCCCCTTAAGGCACCCCTCTGGGACCAGCCATGCTGCACAATCAGGATCTCAGGTGCTGGATAAGTAGGCCGTGGCCTACATAGGAGGCACCACGTGAAGTGCTCGCTAGACTGGTTTTGGAATAACACTGAGTTCTTGGGTATATGCCCAACTCTGCTGCTATGTGGCCTCTAGTGAAAATTTTCTCTCAGTACCAGTTCCCTTATAAAATGGGGATAATATGAGTACCAACATCATGGTGGTTTTCAGCAGGATTCAGTGAGGAGACATGTGTCATTCACTTAATGTATGCTCGGAACATCCATCCTGACCTAGTTGGACATAGAGTATACCTGTTGCTTAGCTTGGGTCCTCTAGAAAGCAGAGGCCCAGACAAGGATTCACATCCCTGGATGATGCAAATGGTGAATGAACATACTCAACTGCTAACTGAAATGTTGGTTGTCTGAGTTCATTCAGAGGCACCTAGGAAGAAAGGTCTGGTGATCTACATCCAGAACATCTTCTACTCTGACACTCATGGGGTCTTTATTAGTCAGAATCAATTTCATAGCAACTGACTTATGCTTGGAACATCCATATTGACTATTGCATCCTGGCCCGGGTGGGCATGGAGTGGACTAACTGCTTTGGCCTGGGCCCTTTAGAAAGCAGAGGCACGGGACCAGGATTAAAGTACTCACAATTGTTTAAGCTGGGGAGAATGTGAGAAATAGGGAGTTGAAACCAAGGTCTGCACTGTGTGGAGCAATGAGTGGGGTTGCTATCATTTCACTTCCACTCACAAGTAGACCAAAGTGGTCACCAGTGAACTTACGGGCCTGCTCGTATGTTCCCTTTGAGTTTCAGTTTTGGAGGGGAGTTTGTCCTGAAGGACCTTGATGGCTCCCAGGCGAACAGTTTGCTTGTTCTTGTAATAGCCAAATAGTTTTGATTTTTTTTTTTTTCCTTTTCCTGCTGGCCTTTCTTTCAAGAAGCATCTTCTGTTCCTCTAGCTGCTCCAGGTTGGTCTGCATGTCCTTTCAAGTGGGTATGTCCCATGTCAGAAAGTTATGTATGGGGTTCAGATTCCATCTAAGACCCTATACTGTGCAAAGGCTCCACAAGAAGCCTATTTCATTGATTGGTTCCTTTTGTTTTTGAGGGGTCCCTGTTGATAATCATTGCCCTAAAGTGTTCCTATCTGCCTACAGGGTTTACTCTACTTCATTTTAATCTGAAGCCTCCATCATTGTGTTTGTTGTTGCTATAGAGTTGGCTTTGACTCATGGCAATCATGTATAATAGAAGGAAGCCTTGTCCACCACCTGCCTGCCAATGTGTCATACTGTGGTGGTATGCACGTTGCTAAGATGCGGGAACTGTCTTGAAAGAAGTACAGCCAGAATGTTCCTTAGAGGCAAGTGTGGTGAGACTTAGTCTTACATATTTTAGACGTGTTATTAGAAGGGACCAGTCCCTGGACATCATGCTTGATATAATAGGGGTCAGCAAAAGGTAAGAAGACCCTCAATGAGGTAGATTGACACTGTGTTTGCAACAATGGACTCATCATAGCAGCCACTGTGAGGAAGGAACAGGACTAAACAGGGCTTTGTTCTGTGGTGCACACAGTCACTGGGAGTTGGAACCAACTCAACAGCACCTAACAAAATGATACTGGAAGCTATGTCACCAGCATTTCAAATACCAGTAGGGTTACCCATGGTTTCAACAAAGCTCCCAGACTATGACAGACTAGGAAGAAAGGCTGGAAATTCATTCTGAAAGTTCACCAATGAAAAAGTTATGGAGCACAACTGAACACTCTATCACTTTATTGATAAGTGTTGTTGTTAAGTGCCATTGAGTTAACTTTATTATTAACTATTGTTAACAATCACTTTATTGTTAACTGTTGTTGTTAAGTGCCATCGAGTCAGTTCCCACCCATAGCAACCCTGTATTGGGTTTCCAAGGAGTGACTGGTGAGCTTGAACCACTCACCTGTGTTGCAAACCAACTTTGCAGTTCAGCTCATAGCACCACACCAGGACTCTCTATACCTATAAAAAGATCTGTTTGGCATACTAAAGATGAAAGGATATGTTGTTGTTGTTACTAGGTACTATCGAGTCCATACCAACTCATAGCGACCCTATGAACAACAGAACGAAACACTGCCCGATCCTGGGTCAACCTCACAATTGTTGCCATGCTTGAGCCCATTGATGCTGCCATTTTGCCAATCTATCTCACTGAGGGATCTTCCTCTTTTTCTCTGACCCTCTACCTTATGAAACATGATATACTTCTCCAGTGACTGGTCCCTCCTGACAATATGTCCGAAGTATGAAAGACAAAGTTTGGCCATCTTGGCCTCCAGGGAGCACTCTGGCTGCGCTTCTTCCAAAAAACGGATCTATTGGTTCTTTTGGCAGCCCATGGCACTTTCAATATGCTCCTCCAACACCATAACTCACAGGCATCAATTCTTCTATGGTCTTCCTTATTCACTGTCCAGCTTTCGCATGCATATGAGGTGGTTGAAAATACCATGGCTTGGGTCAGGCACACCTTAGTCCTCAAGTTGACATCTTTGCTCTTCAACACTTTAAAAAGGTCTTGTGCAGCAGATTTGCTTAATGCAATATGTCGTTTGATCTCTTGACTGCTGCTTCCGTGAATGTTGATAGTTGATCCAAGAAGAATGAAGTTGACAATTTCAATCTTTCTCCGTTGACAAGAATGTTGTTTATTGGTCCAGTGTTTGTTTTCTTTACATCGAGATGCAATCTATACTGAAGGCTGTGCTCTTTGATCTTAATCAGTAAGTATTTTAAGGATATAGTGGAGTTGTAAATAAAAACAATAACACTTAACAAAATGATTATGAATATTATCACAAACTTTGGTAGCTTAGCACATCATATTTGGTGGGGGCAGGGGAAAGATGTACACCAAAACACTCAGGAATATATAATCATTTAAACAACCAAAGGACACATTCTGCAAGACTGCATTCTGGCTGCCATGAGTCTTTCTCTTTCCATGAGTCTAGAGTCCTCAGTCTATCTCTCCATGTCCTCATCTCTGCCTCCATCTCCGGTGTCGCTGCTTTTCTGGATAAGGTTTCACATTCCGCTCCTGCTCTTGATGGTCCTAGGGTCCTCTGTTCCTGGAATGTAAAATTAACTCCTCTCCCCTTCATATTACAAAACTTCTACCTTTACAGTTGCACAATTAGTCACGATACCAACTACTCACTAATGAATCATAAGAATCTTATCCCTATTTCCTTTCACCAGACCCATCTAGACAAAATGAAAACTATTCAGTGGGGATTCTACCTTTCCCTACACACTCTGAAACTAAACTTTGTGCCTTTATAGCCACCCCGAATTTTAGGTAGCCAGTATCTAAGTTGCCCGTCCCTATCACCCCTGCATACAGAGGGGGTAGGATGAAGACTTCTTCCCTCTCAGTTGGTATTCTGAGCTACTACATGTTGAAGTATAGGTCAAGTTCATCAAATTGTAGCAATTTTCACTTGTTTCTTTAATAAAGAAATTTTTTGTCTTCTTTTAGTGGAGTTGTGGTCTTTAAGCCATCGAAGTTAGGTCAAATGGGTACTATCTGCAAGTTTGGTCATTCTTGTGCATTTCCTTTCACTTCATATCAGCTAGATGCTCCACTCTCAGCTCTAGCCCTCCATGGCTATGTTCTTGTCCATGGGCTCAGGAGACCCCAGATCACAGCATACTTCAGACCAACCAGCCCTTCCTCTTCTCCCTCTCATCTCCAGATCAACAGGTGTCTATGGAACGTGGTTGGGCTCAGCCCATATATTCATTGTTGCCTTTCCCCCACTTCTACTCACTCGTAGACCAACATTGTCACCAGCAAGCTTACATGGCTGCTCATGTGATCCTTTTGAGTTTCAGTCTTCCAGGGGTTTGTCCTGAAGGGACTTGATTCAGCACATCACATTTTATTTCTTTTTTTTTTTTTTAACAATTGCTTTATTGTTTTTTAAATTGATGTTTGGATGAAAACTTGCAGAGCAAATTAGCTTGCCATTCAACAACTGGTACACATTTTCCCCCTGACATTGACTGCAGTCCTTCGATGTCACAGCATGCTTCCTCCTTTCTCCTTAAACTCCCATTTCCATTTGACCTTCTTTCCTGCTCCTTTCTGCCATCTGAGCTTTGTTTAGGGTCAGTTGCTGCCCTTTTGGTCTGTATGATTGACTGTACTGAGGAGTATATTCGTCCATATGTTATTATTCAGTTTGTAGGTCTACTGTTTGGCTGAAAGTTGATCCCCAAGGTGGCTTCAGTTCCAGACTTGAAGAGTACCTAATGGTCATAATCTCAGGGGCTCCACTAGTCTCTACCTGACCAGTAAGTTTCATCTATTTTATGGTTTTGCATTGTGTTCTATTTTTATCCCCCATCCTCTCTGTCCAGGATTTTCTATTGTGATTCTGATCAAAACCATAAGTATTGGTAGCGAAGCACCATCTAGTTCTTCTGTTCTCTGGGAAGTAGAAGCTGTGGTTCACATGGTCCATGAGTCTTTGATTTTCTTCACTCTCTTTGTTACAGACAAGAAAAGACCAGTAACTGCATCTTGGATGGCTGCTTGCAAGCTTTCAAGACCCCAGTTGCTACTCAACAAAGTAGAATCTAGAACACTGTCTTTGGGGACTATGTTATGCCAATTAACCTGGTTGCCCCTGAGACTGCGGTCTGAAATTCCCAAGCCCAGTGAGTCTTTTCCTCAGGGTGTTCCATTATGGCTCAGGAGCTTTCAGAACTTTGTCTTTCATGTGCTCTACAATAAGCTTGGATATACAAGGGTGAGTCAAAAATTATCTGCACTCTGCTGTAGAATTTATTTGAATTAACTTTCAGAAAAGACAAATTTTCCAGTATAATCTCCTTGCTTTTCAATACACTTTGTTAATCTGTCAACACGCTTTTATATTCCCTTATTTTAAAATGTTTTAGACTGAGTTTCGAGCCACAAATCCACCACTGCCTTCACTTCTTCATCAGAGGTGAATCTTCGTCCTCAAAGGGCTAATTTCAGGCAACCAAACAGATGAAAGTTTGATGGAGCAAGATCAGGACTATAGGGAGGATGCCTTATACAGAGTGTCAACAGCTGGGCAGAGGTGTGCAGAAATGCATTGTATCGATAGTGTGTGCAGAAGTGTGTGGATATATGTTGTCACACAAGATTATAATACCCTTGGATAGCAGTCTACTGTTTAATCCAAAGTTTAAGCTTCAGCTCTTCAATAAGCATCTCACTGTAATGAGCACTGTTGATTGTTGAGCCGTTTTCTTGGTAGTGTTTCAATACTGGCCCTTGAGAATTCCAGAAAATTGTAAGCATCAATTTTCCAGCTGATGGTTGACATTTGAACTTTTTTGTGGTCAGCAATTGAGGATGTTCCATTCCATACTCTTTGGTTTACTCTCAGGCTTATAGTGATGAATCCATGTCTTGTAAATAGTAACAATTTTTTTAAAGAAACTTTTACCTTCCTTCAAATATCAGTCCAATTTTTGTATAAATGCTTTCATTTATACTCTTTGGTGAGTTGTTTTGGTACCCATCTTCACAAACTTTTCAAAACCCAGGCCGTCATGTATTATTTCATAGACAGAGCCACAGTTTATTTGCAAATGATTTGCCACACAATCCATTGTCACTTGTCTATTTGACAGAATCATTTCACATCCATGCTCATGCTGTCATTAGCCATGGACATAGATGGGTGTTTTAATGAAACCGAGCGTGGGTAATTTTTGACTCACCCTTGTATTTACAGCACATACAAGTACATATGTAGAAATAACCTCTACCAAACCAAGATAAACTCATGGGTGTACTCCCATTCACCTTCTCCCATCTATTCAACTTGTAGGTGTTTGTTTTTATAGCACATCCCATTTTAGAAAGTGTTTTCTAGTGGGCTAATTTGCTTAGTTCTCATAAGCGCCTCACAAGGTAAGTGGTTTGCTTCCCACATTGCAGATGAAGATACTGAGGCTTTGGTGAACAGTTCTTCTCTGAAGTTGGGAGGTTCTGAGTTGGTATCCAATGGGACAATAAAGGGAATGTGCCTTATGGGAAACATACAATACTCTGCAACCTCTAATGGCTTTGCTCTTTATCCTAGTCTGAGATGCGGGTCCAAGACCAGAGACCCCTGCTCACACTGAGGCATCTCCACAGTATCCTGGAGGAGCTGCGTACTGAGAGTACCCATTGGGAGGACGCCTGGCCCAGTGGAACGCCCTCCCCTATAAGAGCTCGAGCGGGCTCTGAAGGCAGGAACCACCAGCCTCCATCCTTGGAAAGACTGGCCCAGCTCCTCCTCCGAGAAGATAGCAGACGCAGCTCCCTCCCTTAACTGGCCAGAGATGACTCTGGGCTTAAACTCTGCCTCCAGTGGTTTAGATTTTGAACGTGACATTGTAGGGAGGAGCACTGGGATAGAAGTCACAGAAGGCCAAGGCTCTGGGGTCTCCTTTGTCCTCATTCACTGTGTGTCCCTGGACCTGTCACCCAACTCGTGTTTCTGGTCCTTTCTGTCACTTATTGCGTCTTTTGATGAAGCAAAAATACGACATTGGGTGTGAACATCCTTTGAAAACACAAACATTTATATGTCTTCAGCAAGCACTAGGGAGGTGATCCTCTCCTTAAACATTTCTCACCAGGTAATCATAAAAACAAAGAAAGAAATCAATGTGGGAGGATGTTTACTGAGTGTTGTCATGGAGAAAAATCTGAATTCCATGCAGTGACTTGGGCTTCTGTCTTCCTATTCCCCTTTATTTAGTAACAACAGACCCTGTCACCACACTGGCCTTAGGAATGGCCATGTGATCAGGTGAACAAGCCTGGTCAATTATAATTTATGGTTACCCTAACAACATGATTGGCCTTCCACCATTCCCCGCCACCACCCACATTTTTTTTTTTTTTTTTTGCTTAAGCTGATTTTAGTAGCGTTTCCCTCATTTGAAACCAAACAATCTCAAGGAATATAATCCAGATGTTCAAAAAATTAAAGAAGATAAATTATTAAGAAAAATAGCATTTCATTCATCAGGGCTGCTGACAACAATCCCAGAACAAATGGCAACAGGGCTTAGCATATGGCAAGACAATCAGTTGGATGGGGTACTCAAATCAAACCTTTGAAAATTGCTATCTGCCTATAAGACAGACTAAAATGGAGCAGGTGTAAATAAATCAGTTATGGTATTAAGATAGCAAGCCTTTTTTTTTTTTTTTTTTTTGGTTAGTCTTTTTGTTCTTGAAAACAAATTATTGGTAAGTCTTTAAAATCTTGCGTGTTCTTAGAATACTGTTGTATGATGTAGAAAAAGGAAACCCCTCACATACAGAGGCAGAATGTAGTGAGCTATAAATACAATGTTTGTAGTCAGACTAATGTAGGGTTTTTAATATCAGATCTGATCATATAAAAATTATCTGCAGGGGCACTGAGTTTCTGTTTAAGGTGATGAGAAAATTTGGAAGTTGTGGTGATGGTGACACAACATAGGAAGTATAAATAATATCACTGAATTGTACACCTACAGATGGTTGAAATGGCAGATGTTTAATACATATATTTCACCAAAAAAAAATAAAGAAAGAAAAAGAAAATCCCCTCTATGAGTTGTGTTTGGGATGCCACAGACTACATTTTGTGCTGCCAGAACAGCATAATTGGTGGCAGGATGGGTGACCATCATTCGTCACAGTGTAGTTCTGGATTGCCTGCCCTGACCCACTTTAGGCACCAACCTTGAACAGTTCCCTCTCTCCTAATCTTTTTTGCTCCTAACCTCATTAATCCTTTACCACCTGTGCTCCTCTCCTCACCCTTGGACGTGAGGTTGGATGAGCAGGGAAAGTCCTGAATCTCCCATACTGAGATCATGATCCACATACTTCCTCTGGTACTCACTGGCTGTCCTGGATGAGTATGACTTGCAGACATGTCTGAAAGCCACCACACTATGTAAGGAGGGAGTCCTTGCGTAACATGTTTGCTTACACACTTGACCACAGCTAAAAGGGTGGTGGTTCAAACTCACTCAGAGGCATCGCAGAACACAGGCCTGGAGATCTGCTCTGAAAGGTCACAGCCTTGAAAACCCTACAGAGTACTTCTACTCTGCATACATGGGATCACCTAGTTTGTACACATAAGGTTTCCAAGAGTCAGAACTGCTACAATGGAAGCTAACAACAACACAGATATTACTCTAGCATGGTTCACCAGCTGCAAGGAATAGTCACTGACTCAGGCTAATTCCAGAAGGTTGGGATTATTGTAAAGGCTGAGGTGGAGATAAATTACTCAACTTCTTTGAGCCTCAGTCCCCTCGCCTGTGAAAACAGGGAGATGATAGTAGTCCCTACCTAAGAGAAGTAGGGTCTCATCAGACTCCAAGGGCTCCAGAGTCTCTGGACCATAAGGCATCCCCATCTGTAGAATTGGGATCATAATAGTACCTACATCCTAGGTTGTTGTGAGAAGCTGGTGAGTTAGTGTATGTAAAACTCAAACCAGCCTGGAGTGGCTAAAAGAACAAAAGATACTTCTTGAAAGAAAGACCGACAGGAAAAATACAAAAAAATATAGGCAGTCCGACAGATTACTACAAGATCAAGCAAGTTGCCCACCCAGGAGACATCAAGGCACGTGATGGGGTCCCCTCAGGGCAAACTCCTTTCCAAGACTAAGACTCAATGGGAATATACACGCTTTGATTGGTGACTACGTTCGTCATCAATACGGAGAAGTGAGGGGAAAACAGCAATGAAGCTGTGACCTAAGCCCTACAACATCCAATAGACTCTTGTGAACCTGGGTGGAGACCTGGTTGGCCAGCAGTGTGGCAAGACCTGGGGACTCTTGGGCCCAGAGTCAGTGACATAGCCACAGAGGACTAGAGTGGAGAGTGAAGTGTCCAGCTGATAGGAAGAGAGGGTATACGCACAAGAACACTCACACTTGCAGATAATACCCACTTGACCTGGCTTCAATGACTGGATGATCAGAGCTCAACTAGAAGAAGAAAGAAGAGGGGAAAAAGAGTAATCTGATACAATTTGATGAACTTGACCTACACCTATGCATGCAGTAGCTCAAAAGAGGGAACAAATCTTTACAGAGAGGATCATTCCCATCCACTCTATACACAGAGTAGACAGGGATGGGCAACTTGGACAGTGGCTACACAAAACGGGGGTGGGGGGCTACAAAGGCAAGAAGTGACTGGCTTACAAGCTTTCATTAGGGAACCTAGGTCCAGAGGGTACAGAGGAAGGTGGAATCTCCACTGAGTAGTATCCAATCTGTCTGGGCGGGGCTAATGAAAGGAAATGGCAATAGGTCCCTTGTGGTACAATGATGAATAATTGTTATCAGGACTGACTGTGAGGGTTGGACATGTAAAGGTAGATGTTTTGTAGCAAAAGGAGGTGAGTGATTGACTTTGCAGTCCAGGAACAGAGGTTCCTGGAACTATCAAGGGAGAAGAGAAGAGTGCGGGACCCTACCCAGAGAAGCTGTGACACCAGAGATGGAGGCAGAGATGACGACGTGGAGAGATGGAGCAGCCATGGACTCTAGACCCAGAGAGGGAGAGGGGCTGTGTGCTGATGACAGGGGGCAGGCTTGCAGAGTATGCCCTTTGGTTGGTTCATGATGCATGGAGGGATTGTAACTATGGCAATGAAACGGTATACAATAGGATGAATGTAAAGCTAATGTTCTCCCATGTAAACTATCACACAATTCACAATAAAACATTTAAAAAAGCAAAAACAAAACCTCAACACTGCCTGCCATCTGTATAAGCATCGTGTGGAGTCCTGGTGTGGCGCTGTAGGTTAGTGCACTGGACTGCAAGGTCAGCTTGAACTGAAAGGTCAGTGGTTCAATCTCACCAGCCACTCCTCAAAAAACCCTACATAGAATTGCTATGAGTTGGAACCGACTCAACAGCACTTAACAACAACAAAAAAAGAGTCTTGGATGATGTAAATGGTTGACACTCTCAGCTGCTAACTGAAAGGTTGGAGATTCAAGTCCACCCAGAGATTCCTCATGAGAAAGTCTGATGAGCTACTTCTGAAAAATCAGTCATGGGAAACCCTTTGGAGCACTGTTCTACTCTGATACACATGGGGTCACCAAGAGTTAGAATCAACTTCATAACAGCTGGATTCTTGTCACTGCTACCTTGGTGGGACCCCTGGTATGGCTCTACAGGATAAACACTGGGCTGCAAACCACAAGGTTGGTGGTTCAAACCTACCAGCTGTTCCTTGGAAACCACAGGGTGGATATGAGTTGGAACCTACTCAACTGCGCTTAATAACAACACTACCACTATTCAGGGCTCCCTCCCTTCCCTGCCTTCCAGCTTCTCCGTCTTTGTGAGGAGATGGACTAGACTCTGGAACCGTACACATGCATCCAGTCTGATGAGGCCTAGCGTTTCCACACAGCTGTGTGATCGTGGGAAAATTCCTTAAAGTCTTTGACTTCTATAAAACAAAGGTAATTGTACCCCATACCACAGAGAAGTTGTGCAGATTAAATAAGCTAAAACACATAAATTGGAAGAGTGCTTGGTACATTGTAATTGCTCAGTAAATATTAGTCATCATTACCACAGAATCATGTTTTTGGAGGTTCTATTAGAGTCCTGGTGTAGCACTGTAGGATAAGCACTCGACCACAATGTCGGTTTGAACCACAAGGTTGGCAGTTCAAATTCACCAGTTGCTCCTTGAAAACCCTATACAGGGTCGCTATGGTTCGGAACCGACTTAACAGCACTTAACAACACAACAACAACTGGAGTCCTAGAGTCCTGGTATGCCACTGTAGAATAAGCACTAGACTGTTAATCTTAAGGTTGGCAGGTCAAACCCACCAACTGCATCTTGGAAACCCTATACAGGGTTGTTATGAGTTGGAACCAACTCAACGGCACTTAACAACCGCATCGGATTTCTAATGTAGCTATGAGCCGGAACCCACTCAATAGCATTTAACATGTAGAAACAGTCCCTGTATGGTACAAACAATTAATGTGCTTGACTGTCCATCAAAAGATTCGAGATTTCAGTCTACTGAGGGCACCTCCAAAGAAAGGCCTGGTAACCTTCCAAAAACCCCATGGAGCACAGCTATATTCTAACACACCTGGGGTCACCATAAGTCAGAACCGACTCAATGGAAACTACAATTTGCTTTGTTTCACTTTTTGTTTTGTAGAACCAGAGCTCCACCGCCTCAGGGAGGAAGGACAAAACAGTGGGAACCAACAGGCCCTGGGTTCAAAATTCCCCTCTGCTCCTCATTCACAGTGTGAC